GGTGGAGTCTGATGAGACCAACTTTGTTCTTGAAGCCTACGTGGACCAGATGTCAAGAGTTCGCGCTGATCCTATATGGACTGTTCTGGCAAAGGCAGCTAAAATTGCTGTTTGGTCATTCTGCCCTGTGATTTTATGCAAAAACAGGTAATGTGGTTTAAAAGTAGATTTAGTTTGCAAACTTTTGCTATGCTGTTAAATCAGTTTGGGATCAAGGTTGAGAGAACTTGTTTTTACATAAGTTGAACCAATTTTAAGATTTTTTTTCCTGTGATTTTGATGTATTTGCTGTCTCGTTTTGATTAATGCCTCCAGTTGTTTGTTTTTTCTTTTTTTTTTTTTTTCGTTTGTTTGTTTGGCTTGGGCTGATGAACTATTTTTCCAGGAAGGGAGGACTTTTGCTTTCCACAATGGACAGTAACTGGAGAGACTGGTTTTCTTTCACGCTGGAAACCTGATAAATTTTCATCTGAGACTGCACCCAGCATCCGTATATTTCATCTTCATCACCATGGAAATGGTGGCAAAGAGTGAAATGGGTCAGGATGTCCTGAGCTAATTCCACGCAGGCTTTGGGGACCCCACCCCCCCTCCAGACCAAAGCCGCCAGGACACTGGGAATGATCATCCCGTCACTACCAGAGGGAGGGTGGCTGGGACCTGAGGGCGGAGTTCAGCTGCCAGGTTTGGTATAAAACCAGACACGTGGGCCTTGGGGGCGCTCTTGGCTTGGGGCTCTTGGCTCCCCCCCAGCTCTCAGCGGGCCTTTGGGATTCCAGGTGGGCGGAGTGGGTAGGACGCATTTAAGACTTTATCTCCCTCTTCTCGCCCTGAGCTGTTCGTTTCCTCGTTCCCCTTCCTGGCGCGGGCCATGCTACCCACGCTGTCTGACAAGGTCCGGGCATGGGGGAAGTTTCTGAAGTCAGAAAGCTCCATAGCTGGCTCCTGCTGCTTCCTTTCATTTGTTTGTGGCAGTTATTGACGCCATGGAAGCTTTCTATGAGCTTTAGACTAACACAATGAGTGCTGGCGTCCTTGCCGGTTTCGGGAATGCGCACCTCAAGAGTGTGAGAAATGTACCTTCCAGCATGACTGATAATGAAACGGTTTCCAATAATTCTCCACGCCCTCCAATGTGTGCTGCAGTGACCATGAGCAGCACTGAGTTCTCTACCAAACCACGCTTGACAGAACCGACGGAACGGAGCCCGGTAAAAGACCCCACTAGAGAAGGCCCTGAGTCGCCCCGGGAGGCGAAATGGTCCCAGAGAAACACACCACGTGCTGTTCCCACAGCACCAGCACCCTTTGGTTCTACATAGAAAATAGGAAGCCGCCCTCGACTTCACAATGCCTGCTTAGCTTTGCTTTAGTGACCTGGCTTGACTGTCCGCATCACGTTGGTAGAGCACCTGTTTCTATTTCCTGAATAACAGGCATCACCCGGGGAAATATGTAACCAAGTTAAGGTGACCAAGTGACCAAGTTCATCACAGACTGGGAAAATTTAAAAAAAAAGGGACTGTGACTGTTAGCGATCATGAGTAACTTCTGAAACAATGTAAAAGTAAAATCAATCATGGTCGCATGATGTAACGATCAAATAACAATGTCTGATGCATAAATAAAGCTCCGCTGAGACCCTCAGGGGGAGATGTCTGCACCCTCATCAAGTGTCAGCGTCTCCTCACTCCCTCATCTACCCATCCCCCGCCCCTCATCCCTCCACTTCCCCGAAGCCTTCTTGTCCTTGCGGAAACCCGGCCCCTGTCGGAGATGGACTCCGGCACCTTCCCTTGGTATAAACCTTTTATAGACCTTTCAGGTGCGCCTGCAGTGGAGTATGAATAAGTCCCTTGTAAGCGCGCGGGTGAGGACCCCCAGCCAGGAACCCCGTTTTATCTCGGGGCTGCCCTGTAACGCCCACAGCAGTCAGGGGCTCCCTCCAGAGACGGGGCCTGAGTCCCAGGACAAGAGAGGGCGACTTGGGCAGCCTCAGGGACGGTGCAGGCCCGACGTCGGGAGAGTAAAGAGGCTTCAGCGATGAGGGCACCAGCCAGAACTGTGTGAACGGCTCCCCTGTCCTTCCTGCTTCTCTCCCTCCCCCGTGTCACTGACGCCCTCCTCTGTCATCTGCGGGGCTGCAGACGGGCCGAGACGCTTCACAAACTCTCTCTCTCCGTCCTTTGTTTGACTGCAAAATCAATGGGCACCCGGGGGCCCGGGTGAAACCCTCGCGTGAGGCCGCCGTTCTCACCGTCCTGGGTGAGGGTTTCTCAGCTGGCAGGGCTCCCTGACCCCCCCTCTCTGAGTGGGCATGTCGGGTTTCTCCTGCCGCCGGTTCCTCGCTTTGCTCTCTCATGCGCGGACTCCGATGACTGTGCTGTGGCCCTGGGAACCCGGGACACCCAGGAGGCCTGAGGGTTCAGAGTCGGCCTTGAGCTAGGCTGGCGCTAGGCGAGAGTCACGGAGGCCTGAGTGTCTGAAAAAGGACTTTGACCTTCTTGGCCTCCCCCGGCAGGGCAGACTTCCTCCAGCTCCTATCAGGTCAGCTTGTGAGTTGGGAGATGCAGGAGGCTCCCGCCATGTTCCTCTTCCAGCACCCACGGACCCACCGGCCACAACAGTGCTCCCGTGGGCTCCGGGGCCTACTCTGCCGCTTCTCAGCAGGGAGTAGCCAGATGTGGTGACACCGTCCTTTCCTCCCTTTTTTAACCCCTGTAGAGTCTGGGATAATGAGCACCACACCAGCCCCTCCTACAGCCATAAAACTTGGCCTCCCCGGAGGTGCAGGAGTTAAGCACAGCACTATGAAGCTGTCCACGGCCTCTGCAGCCCTAGCCGCTTGGCGCGGCAGACCTCTGCTGTCGCCTGCTGCTCCCCTCAGCGGTGGATTTCGTCAGTCTGCCTGTTCTGCTCCCCACTCTGTCTCTGGTGGATCCTCTCACCCTCCTGCCCCTCTGGCCTGTCCCCCAGCTCTTGTATGCATAAATAAATAAATCTTTATAAAAGAAATAAGAGAAAACAAAAAGACACTATAATGTCCCCCAGAACCTCCCCCGGCCCCTCTGAGCAGGGCCCCACCCCTGGGGGAAGGGAGCACAGGAGGCCCCCTCGGCCGGCCAGCCTGGCCTGGACTCCACCTTGGGCAGCTCCTCTTCGCGGGAGGGCAGACATGGGCTCGGCCTCCTGCTCGCTGCGCCCCTTTGCAAGTCTGAATACGGAAAAGAGTCTGAAACGAAGCTGCTGAGTGTGAATTTATTGAGCGCCGCTGTGTGCCTGGGACTGGCACCGGGTCCTGAATTCCTGCATTCTGGGTCCCTGAGGCCCAGCCCCTCCCTGTCTCCCCTGAGCCTCCCCACCCCTCCCCAGCCTCCCGGGCCTGCCCAGGGCTACCTGGACTGAGAGAGCCCTCAGATCCCCGCTGCCCCCTGGGTTCGTCCACCCTCTGGGCCTCTCCCGGCCCTGGCCTGTGTTGGGTGGGCCTCTGAGCTTTCCTCTTCCTGCCCCCTGGCCTGGCTTCACTTCCTGCCCGCACTGGCAGCTGGGACCCCTGATGCTTCCAGGGCTTTCATGGGACCTGGTCTGTAGGCCCCGCCCTCCCTCACACCAGCCTCCCCCCTCTCACTCCCTGGGGATGGGGGCGACCCCACCCACAGGTACCCCCAGAGTCACCTCATCGGAAGAGAGAGCTCCTGTCACCTTGGAAATCCCAAGGGTTGGGGTTCTGTGTGGAGAGCTGGGGTCAGAGACCACATGCTGGACAATCGTGGGGAGCAGCTGCCCCGGCCTGGGAGCACTGGTGGCTCTGTCAAGGCCACGCAGAGCCCCGTGCAGTTTTGCTCCCGCAGGGGCCCCCACCTGGGGCCCTCAGCCTGGAAACCAGCGCCGCCTGTGGGCTGTGGGTCCTGAGCCTCCCCTTCCCATGAAGGCCCATGGGACCCCATCCTCCCCGCTCTCTCTGCAGGGGCCTGTCCTAGGAGGACTCAGCCCCTCCTGCTGGTCCCCCCTCACCCCAGTCTCCCCTCCTCCAGGAGACCCCTCTGGACTGAGGGCAGGCATCACCTGAGAACAGGGTCCTGGGCCTGCGGGCAGGGGCAGCCATAGTGGGGAGCGGGGCTGACAGGAGAGGATGCCCCCTGCCTTCCTTCTGGGTGCTGGGGGGCTGAGGGACCCCACCCTGATTCCTGCTGAGAGGGAGACAGACACGGCGTCCTGGAGCTGGCTCTGGGGAGGCCTCCCCTCGGCGCCTCACGCGGGGTCCTGCTTCTGTGACACTCCGGACCCTCTCTGTGCTGTGCCAGCCCCTGTGGGCGCGTCCGTGGCCAGGCCTGCTCCGGCCTCCCTGTCCACCTGCTCCTCCCCCTGCAGGACGAGGGCGGGGTCAGAGGGCCCAGCCCCCTCCCCAAGCTGCACCCCATGCCCTCCCCATCACCGCGGGTGCCTAGAGTCGGGGCCTCTGGCTCCAAGTCCATTATTGCAGCTGAGCAGGGCGGGGGCTTGGGCCTCCCCTCCAGCTTAAGCCATGCTCACCGCTCACAGGGGTGCAGCTGGGCAGCCGGTAGGCCCCCAACGGCGCCTGCATGGGGCTGAGGGATGGCGCTCCTCCCTGGCCACCTCCCCCCTCCTCCCCCCCACCCAGGCGAGGCCCAGGCAGAGCAACCCTGGCTGCAGGCGGACCACCGTGGTGGGGTCCAGCAGCTCCCTTGGGCTCAACCTCAGGGCCCCCGGGAGGAGGGCAGTGGCGCCCCACGGCCTCAGGGCTGGGCTGAGTGCTCTGCCTGGACAAAACCTCTGCCAGGACTGCGTGGGGCCTGGGAATGGCCTCTGGCTGCGCCGCTGCCGGGTCATGTTTATTTCTCTGAAAGGGCACCAGGAGCCTGTGTTAACATGACCAAACACCCAGACCTCAGAGCAGGCCACGTGGTTTCCCAGAAACAGCCTGTGCTGAGCAGCCACAAGAGCGGGCGGGAGGTGCAGGCAGAAGGGGCGCGCTCTCAGCACGTCTCAGCGCACATCTGAGTCCGGCCAAGTCAGACACCCGCTGTGTCTCCACGCTAAGGTGAGGCTGTGCTGGGGGTGGATTAGCGGTCAGCAAAATGTGGGGTCGGGGGTACCCTCAGAGGATGCGCAGGAACAGGTGGAGGTGAAGGGGGTGCTGGACTGAGGGGGCCTGGGAGAGTGGGGCGATTGCGTGTAGGGTCTGACCTTCCTTCTAGAAGGGGTGACAGGGGCCACAGGCTCTGGCTTGGGGACCCTTGGACTGACAGGGGCTCAGGACTGGGCGGTGTGCTGGGTGCCCCTTTCTCGGGCCCCAGCAATCCGGGGCAGCGGTGATGGCCCTGGGCACCCCGACCCGTCACTGCGGAAGGAGGCGCAGCAGGCTGGGCCCAGAGGCCACGGGCCCCGTCTGGAGAGACGATCCTGGGGGCCCGGCTGCAGGGAGACGGGTGCACGGGGTCCCGGGGAAGGGCTGGGGGCAGCCCTGGAGACTTGGGGTGTCCCCCACAGGGTGAGACCTGATACCCGGGGAAGATGTCGTTTTCAGAGGCTGCTTTACAGTTCACGGTAAGACAAGACCCCCCACCCCCACCGTCATCAACTGGGCTGGCCCTGCCCCCCCAAGCTCCAGGCCCAGCGCAGGGACCTGTCCTCACCCCGCGGGCCGCTGGCAGGGGCACCTGAGAACTGAGACTCGGGGGTCAGGACGGAGACCCCAGCCCCGCAGGGTGGGGAGACCCGCGCCATAGACCAGCCGCTCCAGGGACCCCCTGGGAGCCCTCAGCCCCCCCACCTGCTGGAGGGAGTCCGGGGGCTGGACTCAGCGGGCTCCGTCCCCCCAGCGCCTGGAGCCCCCCGCAGTGTGCCCGCACCCCTGAGCACTTCCCAGCCAGCCTGCTCGGGGCCCCCAACACCTGCTTCCTGGCAGGGGAAGATGGCGGAGCTCCGCGGGGCGGCACCACCCGGGCGCCACCAGCTGGTCACTCCGAGGGGGCCGCCGAGCTGGGCCGGACCTGCCCGAGGGCCCATCCCTGTTGCCAGCCCCGGAGCCCACGGTCCCCCCATCCCCTCCCCTGGGCGGGGCGGGGTCCCCGGTCTCCGTGTCCTGCCTGTGGGAGTGGGCTCGGGGGCCGGACACTGACAGCCTCGGGGACACCTCAGGCTCTTGCTGCTGCTACTGCTGCTGGTGCTATTGGTGTTGGTGGTGTTGCCGCTGGTGCTGCTATTGCTGGTGGTGCTGCTGTGGGGATAGCCGCGTCCTATGGCATTATGAGAGTATTTGAAGCCTTAGCGCAACATGACAGGGAGCGCAGGAATCAACATGATAAGTCCTCCTAGAAGCCAAGAGCGACTGTGATGACCTGATGAACCAAAGGTTAGCCTGGGGCCAGGGCTGGAGGAGGGATGGGTGGGGTCCGGGGAGGGTGGGGTGTGCAGGTAGTAGCCTGGGATTTGAGCTTTCCTCTTCCTGCCCCCTGGTTCTGCCCCAAGGTCCACCCAGAGGCCAAGAGCCAAGGGACCTGCGATCTGCTGATTCGCGGCAGGTGGGCCCGGGCCCGGGGCTGGAGGCGGGGTGCGCTGGGGTGTCAGGAGGGAGGGATCAGAGACCCCATGCCCTGGGGGACATGGGCTGGAGCTGGGCCCTCCCCAGTGGCCACCCTGAGCCTCCTTCTGGGCCTGGCCCTGCCTGACCTGACCCTTGTCTGGCAGGGAAAAGCGAGTCACCAAATCTCGAGGCGCCGGGAGGGGACGCGGCCTGCAGCTCCCCCGCTGCCCGTGTGGGGGTGACCAGACTCAACCTTTGGGCCAAAGAACAAAATAAAGAACAGAGTGACCACCCGCTTGGTGCCTGCCGCGTGCTCGCTCCTCTCCCTGCCCGCCCCGGGCCAAGCTCAGGACCAGCTGCCCTCTGTGGCCCGCACCCCCCAGGGGCTGAAAGGGGAGAAACTCCCCCACCTGTCCGAGCCCCACGCCCAGTGGCAGGTCTCCACCCCAGCCTCTGCGCCCCGGCGGGCCGGCCTCAAGACACTTCCTGCCCGTGCTGTCATCCTCCACCCAGACGCCGCAGGTCAGGCCTGGACGGGGCCTCTTCAGGCGTCCACGGCTGGTCCAGGGCATGACCTGGTGTCCGGCAAGGCAGACGCCCCATGACCCCGCTGCACTCAGGTCCCGGAGAGACCCCAGGGCTGGGATGTTTCCTCTCTAGGCACCAACTTCTCGTCAGGACGGTCCCCGCATGCAGGTGGGCGAGGTGGGGCACAGGCTGGGGCTCCAAGTCCCCCTCCCCTCCAGGCAGGGCCGGGGCTCAAGCTGGGACCCCTGAATGCTTCCAGGGCTTTCATGGGACCTGGTCTGTAGGCCCTGCCCACCCTCACACCAGCCTCCCCCCTCTCACTCCCTGGGGTTGGGGGGCGACCCCACCCATAGGTACCCCCAGAGTCACCTCATCGGAAGAGAGAGCTCCTGTCACCTTGGAAATCCCAGGGGTTGGGGTTCTGTGTGGGGAACTGGGGTCCGAGACCACATGCTGGACAATCCTGGGGAGCAGCTGCCCCGGCCATTGGGCCGGGGGTTCTGTCAGGGCCTGCAGAGCCTGTGCAGTTCTGCTCCCAAAGGAGCCCCCACCCTGGGCCCTCGGCCTGAAAAGCAGCCGCCGCCTGTGGGCCGTGGGTGCTGAGCCTCCCCCGCCCGTGAAGGCGCATGGGACCCCGTCCTTGCCCCTGGAGCTGGGTCCCCCCTCTCTCTGCTGGGGCCTGTCCTGGGAGGACGCAGCCCCTCCTGCTGGTCCCCCCTCACCCCAGTCTCCCCTCCTCCAGGAGACCCCTCTGGACTGAGGGCAGGCAGCACCTGAGAATGGGGGCCTGGGCCTGTGGGGAGGGGCGGCCATAGTGGGGAGCGGGGCTGACAAGAGAAGACGCCCCCTGCCTTCCTTCTGGGTGCTGGGGGGCTGAGGGACCCCACCCTGGTTCCTGCTGAGGAGACAGACACGGCCGTCCTGGAGCTGGCTCTGGGGAGGCCTCCCCTCGGCGCCTCACGCGGGGTCCTGCTTCTGTGACACTCCGCGCAGCTGGGAGGCCCCACGCAGCGCCTGCATGGGGCTGAGGGTTGGCACACCTCACTTGCCACCCCTCTGAGATGAGGCACAGGCCGAGCACCCCTGGCTGCAGGTGGACCACCGTGGGGTCCAGCAGCTCCCTTGGGCTCAGCTTCCGGGGCTCCGGGAGGAGGGCAGTGGCGCCCCACGGCCTCCGGGCTGGGCTGAGCGCTTTGCCTGGACATACCCCTGCCGGGGCTGCACGGGGCTCGGGGGTGGCCTCTGGCGGCGCCGCTGCCGGGTCACGTTTATTTCTCTGAAAGGGCACCAGGAGCCTGAGCACCCAGGGGTGCCCCGACATGCATGGAGGCCCCGCCCTCGCCCTGGGCAGGAGGCTCAACCGCCACTCCCCGGTCTCTCAATCTGCCGCCGCCCCGCACGAGGCAGGGGCTCCGGGGTCCCCTCCAGAGGCCTGTCCCGGGGGCCCAGGCTCCAGGCCTCGTGCTCAGCGCCCAGCCTGACTGCGAGTGAGGAGAGGAGGCGCCCCCAGCCCGAGACTGCCCCCACTTCTCGGCTGATCACAGAGCCAGGCCCCAGCACAGCCCCTGTGGGAGCCACCACGGCCACGACGGCCACCTCAGCCCCGGCCGGGCCCAGAGCCGGGCGACCCCAGACCGGGAGGGTGTGGCAATTGGGGAGATGCCAGCGATTCCTGCAGAAGGGGGTGCACTTCCCCTGCGACCCATGGGGTGTGCCTCGGCAGTCACCCATGTTAGCTGGACATGCGTCCACGTTCCCGCAGTGTGGGGGCGGCCCTCACCCAACTGTCGGCCCAGGTGGCAACCAGAACCCCCCAAGCAGGTCGGGTGCGCTGGGGTACGTGGGGTGCGCTGGGCTTGAAGGGGAGTCCCGTGGCAGCCAAAGTGAGTCTGTCAGAGCCCGTGGGCCCGGAGGTGCGGGAGCGTCACCCCAGGACATGCCACGGAGCCCTCGGGACAGGCCACCCCACCCTCTCCTCGGGGACCTCCTGGAATCACAGCCTCGGGGCAGCACCCAAGGCTGGGGTGCAGGGGGGAGCAGGCAGAACATGGCCCGGGCGGCAGCACACGGCTCCACACCCACCAGGAGGCGCCCCGATGTGCCCACCCCATGGGTGACGCCAGCAGCCGGGGCAGAAGGGCAAACTCCACTTCCTGACTGACTTTGTGACCCTAAAACTGCTCCCCCAAATAAAAAGCGTGAACATGAAAGCAGGTGTCCCGTGATGAGGGCGACCAGGCGGGCCTGGCCCCGGCAGCTGCTTTCAGGGCAGCTTCTGCCTCCAAGGCCGAAGGGTAGGGGTACGGGGAGTCCCTCAGGGGCCGCCAGGCGGGGCTGCTGACCTGAGCCTGGGAGGCGGCAGGTGCAGGACCCGGGGTGGGGGCAGCGCAGCCCCTGAGAGGTGGGGCCCACCCTACGCCCCTGCTACCGCTCCGTCACCGCTGACAGGAGTCCGGCTGCGGCCTGGTGGGCAGGCCCCTCTGCAGCCCTCTCTGGGTGTCCCAGCCGTCTGTGGGCGCGTCCATGTCCAGGCCTCCTCCAGGGCCCGCAGAGACAGGGGCGGTGGGGGGAGGGGAACAATGAGCCCCAGGGAGGACCAGAGCGGGGGTCCCATGGGGAGGGGGAAGGGCGCGCTGCGCAGGGCCTGGTGGGTAGGGCTGTGGGAAGCCACAGGAGCCGTCCTGACCAGGCGGAGCTGAGGGTCAGGCCCGGCTGGGCACCTGCTTGCAGACCCTGCCTGTGGCCAGCTGAGCTCAGGGAAGGGGGGGGTGCGGAGGGAGGGGCTGCTCCACTCAGCCATCCCGACCCCCACAGTCACCTGCCTCCTCTTGTCCCGGGCAGGGTCTCAGGACCCTCGGGGTCCTGCCTGACTCTGCTGGAAGCAGTGAGGTGGGGGTGGGTGGGGGGTTGTCAGCATGTGAAGCTGTGATTGGCCTGAGGAAGTGTCTTTGGGAACCCGGACACGGTGGGAGTCCTCGGATGACCAGAGGAGAGAGTGTCCCAGGGGTCAAACAAGGGGCTGTCAGGAGGGGCTGAGGGGGCCGGGGCTGCAGCCACCGGAGGCTCCTGCAGAGGCCAGGGGGCGGGACAGGAGGCCGGGAGGGCTGGCCCAGGGGTCTGGTCCCTAGGTCGGAAGGCCGGGGCAGAGTCCAGCCAGGGCTGAGGCCTGGTACGGGGAAACAGTGGGGAGGGCCACTAGCTGAGCCAGGTTAGGGGATCCCGCCCCCAACCACAGCTCCTGTGGGGAGCATCGGGGTCCCCAGGGCTGGGCACAGCAGGGCCAGGGGTCAGAGCCCTTGTGAGGGGAGGACCCTGGGGGTGTAAGGTGACTTGGGGTGACCCCACAAGGGTTAGATGTTTCTGGGCCAAGGAGGGGAAACACTGTACTTCGAGGTTCAGGAATAGGAGGGACTGACCTTCGATCTTGGCGTGGCGGTCAGCCGGGCCTGGTCCTCCCCACCACCAGCTCCGGGGACAGGAGCCGGGGTCGGGTCATCACCCGCTGGCCGGGGCTCCTGGGAACTCAAGGGGCCTGAGGAGGGGCCCAATGCTAAGGGGGTTCACCCTGGGCTGAGACACAAGAACCGGGGTGGGGTGAACCAAGCCACTGGCCAGGAGTCTCAGAGACCCCGGGAAACCATCAGCCTCTCCACCTGCGGGGAACCATGGTCAGAGTCTTCTCTCCAGCAAACCCCAGGGGTCAGGCCGTCTGGAGGGTCCCTGTGCCATTTCCAGGGCAGCCGTGAACCCCAGAGTCCCCTCACTTCTGGTCATGGGTTGTCACGGGGTCCCTGAGGTCACGCTGGCCTGTTGCTCCCCAGCCAGAGCAGCTCTGACCCCCAAGAGAGCCCAGGGTCTGCAGTGGGGTGTCCCCCGGCCCTGCAACTTCTGACCTTGGCCTTCCCTTCCGGGCTCCTGAGTCCCAGTCCTGGTATCAGGACGGTCCTTGGGCCCAGGATTTGGACCTGACTGGGGCATGTCTGTGTGTGCGTGTGTGGGGTGAGTGTGCATGTGTAAGCGTGTGTGTGGGTGTGTGTTTGGAGTGTGTGCGTGTCTGTGTGATTGCATGTGCATGTGAGTGTGTGTGCGTGCATTGTGTGAGCACCAGGTGTATGCGTGTGTGTGTGAGTGTGTGTGCTCGTGTGTGTGTGTGTGCATGTGTGTGGGGGTGCAGGGACACAAAGGGACGTCAGGAGGGAGGCCGGGAGGCTGCAGAGGTGGGAACACCTGATCTGCCCACCCCTCCCCCAGCTTCCTGCTGTGGCTTCTCCCCCTGCCTGACCCGCCTCTTCCTGCCACAGAAGAGAAGTAAGAAAACACAAAAAGACACGAAAGTGTCCACCTGGGACCTCCCCCCCCCCCCACAGCAGGGGCCCCTGGGGACGGGAGCACGGGAGGCTCTGCTCCGCCCTCCAGGCCTGGCCTCCGCCTCGGGCAGCTCTTCTCACGGGAGGGCAGATGCGGCCTCGGCCTCCTGCTCGCTGTGCCCTTTGCAAGTCTGAGTGGGGAAAAGAGTCTGAGACGAACCTGCTGCGTGTGCATTTACTGAGCCCCCACTGTGTGCCTGGACCAGAACCGGGTCCTGATTCCTGCATTCTGGGTCCCTGAGGCCCACCCCCACCCCAGCCTCCTGAGCTTCCCCCACCCCTCCCCAGCTCCCAGGCCTGCCCACGGCTGCCTGGCCTCACCCAGCCCTCAGACCCCCGCTGCCCCCTGGGTCTGGCCGCCCCCTGGACCTCACCCGCCCCTCCACCAGAAGC